AGACCCTAGTTTAGCACTGCAAACATCCTATCCTGCCCTCTGCAATATTACTTGAGATGGTCCAACAGTACAGTACCATCTGCTAAAATCATAGGAGTCTCGCTATTCACAAACATTTTACCTAGTATGGTTATTTCCTTTTTTTGAAATTCCAACTCTGGACTGAACTCTACACTGTGGCTAATTTCTATATTCCAAACCAAGATCAAGCTACTTTGGTGTGTCCCTATTTGCATCTCTTAGCTGAATTTGCAGAGGGTACAGTTCTTATAGGAGGTGATTTTAACTTCACCCTCCTACCTCATCTTGATTCCATCCCTCAATGGTCCCAGTTTTCTTATGTCTGCCTTTGGCTGCTTAAGAAACAGCTCCATGATCATCATTTCCTAGACTTGTAGAGGGTCATATATAGAAAAAACTGATCATCTGCCCAAGTCTATAACTGGCTTATTAAACAGTGAACATGGAGGGGCGTCACTATGTGAGCAATTCAAAAATTAAGGATATCCAGTTCAATATATCCCTCTGCTCGCAATTACACTTATTTCTCCCCAGGGCACCAGTTCTGCAGTTGACTTGACAATAATTTTTTTAGTCATCCTGTCCTCGAATAGTTGACTTCCAAGGACATTGGGTCCCTCATCTGGTCCGACCACTCTCCTGTACCCTCTCCAGAACCCCAGATCTGAATGGATATGGCACCTTAACGATACACTCCTTGCTGATTCTCTCTAACAATCATGGCAACTATCCGTAACTTTCTCTTTGACCATGCTGTGGATGATACTTTGTTACCTTTTCAGTGGGAGGGCCTTAAGGAAATTCTGCATGGCGTGTTTATCCAGCATGGTACAAGGGATCAAGAAAGAGCACTCAGAATGCATCCAGCAAGTACTGGCCAAACTCAGGGTTTTAGAGACCCAACATAAATCTTCCCCTTCAGGGGAAGCCCTGGCAGATATCTCTGCCATCAGAATGTCCCTCTTACAGCTGTACGGTGTCCTACAGCTCCTACCAGCGTCATCTGACATTTTGCAGATACCATTCTTTGTGGAAGCCAGTTCCCCTCCTTCCAGGCGTCTTGTACTTTTACCAGGCCGTCACCCATCCATTGGATGGAATATAAGCAATGTTGATCATATTACCAGTCCCTTTGGAATTCAGATTCCCTGAATAGAGACCCAGACTCTCTTTTTGTAGCTTTGCTCCTTCAGGAGTTCCCGCCCTTACAGCCGCATTCAGCAGTATACAAAATCCTCACTTCTAAGGTCTATACGGACCTTCAGAAATACACATCTGAATGGGCCTCTGATCTTGATTCTCAGCTGTCTGATGAGGACTAGGAGCAATCATTTGCTTTTACCCCCATCGCCTGTTGCTGGCCAGTAAGGCGCAGGAGACTAATTTCAAACTGCTTTCTCTGTGGTACAGATATCTCAATATGTTTCATTGGATTTACCCCTCAGTCTTCAACCGGTGTTGACATTGCATTACGGGGGTTGGCACTTTGCTACATGCCTGGTGGGCATACCCCCTCATACATACATTTTGGGACTTGGTTCTTAGTATATACACTGCTGTTACTGATGTGACCATACCTAACACACAACAGATTATTCTACTCTCTACCTGGCTACTAAAAACTTAAAAGGTGCATTCTCCGTCATTGCTTATCAGCCGCAAGGTTGGTCATCCCTCTCCACTGGTGCTTGACTGCTGTTCCAACCCTAGAGGAGTGGGTCGAGGAAATGGATTACATTGAACAGATAGAATCTCTTCTGGCACAAGAACTGTGTACTCAGGAATGTTGTCATCGCACCTGAGTTTCCTTTAATATGTACAAAGAATCCTCTGAGCTTTGAGACATGCTGGCGGGTTGATGGTGATTCCAGTCTTTTTGGTTCACTTGGTGGACCCTTCTTGTACTTATTGGTGCCCTCCTTGGTCTTTGCTGAGCCTTTCTTGCTTTTTACTTCCTTTCAATTCCTATAGTCTTTCTTTTTCCCTTTTTTCTCCTACCAACCCCCCCCCCCACCCCCCCCCCCTTTGTCTATAATGGGGCTATGGGTGATTTAGTGACATCAGGAAGGTCCAGTCAACAGAAAAATGTAGGTTAGATGGTATGAGGTTGCACTTCTTACAGTATATATGGCGATTAACCATTAATAACCAGGATAAAACTGTAAGGGTCATGTTTTTCCATTGTCTATGTTCTACATGCAGCTCCCACACACTGGTCTAATCATTTTCTGGGTCAACCTTACTGGCTCCAGTGGCTTATAAGTAAATTGGAATATGTTTTTTTTTATTTTCTTTGTCCATTGTATTGTACAATTTCTTGTATTACAATTCTGTATCTGGGTTGTATTATTGTTTTACCTCCCCTTTCACCCAGATTGTGGGCTTGCTTGTTTTGAGTATTGCTACTTTGTATGTTGAAAATCTATTTTTCAATAAAATAAGGCTGAACACAAACAAGGCAGGTCCACCACTTAGGACAGGGGTAAAGCACCCATATAGTAATACTGGAAATCATGAACTGGATGAGGGCTGGGATGAGTAAGACCCAGAGAAAAAATATGGCTTTCCCAAGGTCCAAAGAACCACAGTAAATTCTATAGTAGGGTAATGTATTTCTTGCATTTGATCTAGCCGGTGCTGATAACTGCACCTCTGTTGTTTTTAATTTATTAATTGATTTACTGCCCCCAACTCCTGATGAAGTGATTAATTCTGGTATCACCCAACTCCTGATAAAGTGTTTATTTCTGGTGTCACTGACAGCCATGTATTGGATTTTTTAACTTGGATTTTAATGTTTATATAATAATATAGACATTGATTTTAATTCTTGATGTATTATTAATGTAGTGCTACCCTTTTAAGAGCCACTTTGTATTTTTGGGTCCCCGGTTCACTCTGAGCCTTTTTTAGAGTACAGCCCCTGCTGACACTACTGTATACCCTTGACTGGGAGAACCCCCTGGCTGTGAAACACAAAATAATCATACAGTTTAAAGTGAACCAATGTTATGATGGTATTGAAATTGTAAAAGTGATGCAAGCACAAAAGAGACAATGGTAAGTGTGCACAAAAGATAATTACTCTGGAAAACTTCAAAAGGAATATACACAGTACCAACTTTAAATAGAAACAATTGTTCTATTATTTAGCCCTCAGATGTTTCTTCTCCAAGTGAGCTGAAACAGAGAATAAAGAATCAAGTTAAACTCGTTATGGGTTCTCAATGACTAGACTAGTTTATCTCTCAAAATGGATTTACATGTAACAACACCTTATTTAGTATTACCCCTAAACATAGGAACAAAATTTCTTCTGCATGCTTGATGGGACCCTAGTTGGTGCCCATTAGTGTTGGAATTCTTTTAGATGGAAACAGGATCTCCTGAAAAGGGTACAGTAGCAGGAAAAAACTAGACAGAAATTGATGGTGACAGAACTGGGGAGGGTCCTTTTGTTGAGGAAGGCAAGATGTGTTATAGTTGAGAAAAGGAAAGGAGTAGACTCCAATAGAATTGAATTCCTATAGGTGGGGAATTGGCCTGCTGAAAGAAGTGCTCATCAATAAGATGGTCAGTATGCCACATCACCATGGTGATATGCCGCTGTAGGGTGCTAAGAGTCCGTATGGATGGATGGACCCTCCAGCACTTTTTCTGGACCGAGAGGCCCACTGTGGAACGTAATCGAGGACAGCAGCGTCGGCACCTGACGTCACCTCAGTGCAACGCATTTCTGAGCAATGCACCAGGTACGGTGTAGACCCACGTGCTCCTTTCTCAAGCATTTATTATATTGTACTTTGGATCCTTATATGGGAGACGGGGAAGTGGTGGGAGGGGAAAGGGGAGTGGTTTGAGGACAGACAACAATCGGGAGTGACATAGAAGGTAAGTTACATACAAACAGAGTAAAATATACAAGAAAGGGCGGAATAACAAAATATAAAATATAAATTGTAATATGGCATACCTTAGTCAAGCATACTGTCACAAAAGACTCATGAGCAACAACATGTGAACAATGGATTCTGTACAAATGGCTGGGACAATGCATGTTGATGATTGGGAAACTATATAAAATAATGTTACAAAAACTATTATGAATCTAATAATGAGTATTTATGGAAAAATATTTAGGATTAGGAACATACACTATATTGCCAAAAGTATTGGGACGCCTGCCTTTACACACATATGAACTTTAATGGCATCCCACTAAATCCACAACAATAAAATCAGCCTGTATATGCAGTAAAATGTGCTTGTTATACTCACTGTGGAACCTAAGGGGTTAATCCTTTGCATTGTGTAAAAAGGCCATTTGATCCTTTCTTCTCTGTTCCTCCCCTTTTTCAAGCAACCACCTCGACTGAACCGTAGGAATTTGCAGATGCTTGGTTTGGTGTGTATTGCTAGAGAGGGTTTTTTTTTTTTTTTTTTGTTCTTGGGAGAGTGCATGTGATCAGCACAGGGCCAATCAGCACTTGTCAGCTAGAGGTCAGGGGTTTTGCATCCTCCTAGAGCAGAAAGAAAACTCCTCCTACAAGCTTTAACCAGTGCTCAGCTGAAGACTGCTCTAACTGCTGATGAGAAAAGGTATTTAGCAGTTTATATTTACTAAAATAATTGCATTTCCATGTTCTGTGTACTGTGGGAGACCAAATGTAGTGAATGTAGGGTCCTGGGTTTTGTAACACTTTAAGTTGGCCCACCTTTTGAAGCTAAAACAGCTTCAACTCTTTTGGAAAGGCTGTCCACAAGGTTTAGGAGTGTGTTTATAGGATTGTTTGACCATTCTTTCAGAAGCTCATTTGTAAGGTCAGACACTGATGTCAGACAAGAAGACCTGGCTCACAGTCTCCTCTCTAATTCATCCCAAAGGTGTTCTATTGGGTTGAGGTCAGGACCTGTGCAGGCCAGTCAAGTTTCTCCACCCCAAACTTGCACATCCACGTCTTTATAGACCTGGCTTTGTGCACTGGTTCGCAGTCATGTTGGAACAGGAAGGGGCCATCCGCAAACTGTTCACAAAATTAGAAACATGAAATTGTCCAAAATGTCTTGTTATGCTGATGTCATTCACTGGACTAAGGGGCCAAGCCCAACCCTTGAAAAACAACCCCACATCATAATCCCCCCTTCACCAAACTTTACACTTGGCACAATGCAGTCAGGCAAGTACCGTTCTCCTGGCAACCGCCAAACCCAGACACATCCAACTGATTACAAGACAGAGAAACATGATTCATCACACCAGAGAGCACATCTCCACTGCTCTACAGTCCAGTGGCTTTACACCACTGCATCTGACGCTTTGCATTGCACTTGTTGATGGAGGGCTTGGATGCAGCTGCTCATCCATGGAAACCCATTCCATGAAGCTCTCTATGCACTGTTGTTGTGCTAATCTTAAGGCCACACAAGGTTTGGAGGTCTATAGCTATTGAATCTGCAGACAGTTGGCGACTTCTGCGCACTGTGTGCTTCAGTATGCACTGACCCCGCTCTGTCATTTTATGTTGCCTACCACTTCATGGCTGAGTTGCTGTTGTTCCCAGTTGCTTCCACTTTCTTATAATACCACTAATAGTTGACCGTGGAATATTTAGTAGCAAGGAAATTTCACGGATGGACTTATTGCACAGGTGGAAACCTACTATGTTACCACGCTTGAATTCACTGAGCTCCTGAGTGTGACCCATTCTTTCACAAATGTTTGTAGAAGCAGTCTGCATGTCTAGGTGCTTGATTTTATACACCTTTGGCCATGGAGGTGATTGGAACACCTGAATCCAATGATATGGAGAGGTGTCCCAATACTTTTGTTAATATAGTGTATGTACACTGCAAAACAAAGGGTGAACAGATAATTGTATATACACAAAAAAAATGTCAAACCCACATACCTGTTCATGTATATGTGTGTGTATGTATCTCCATTACTGTGTATATGTACTGTATATGTGTATAATCAACTATGTGGATGAGGCACATAATGGTTTAATATGGATATATTGGTAAGTGACGATGAACAGTGTCCTGTGAGGAGGACTGCTGTGTAAGAAAAGAAGGATAAGTCTCTGGTGTACACATATGTGCATTCATTTGCACACATATGTACACTTTTACCCAATATTAATCGGGGGACTTACTGGACCAGACCACCTACAAGGATTATGAGATATATGTAGACCAGCCACAAGAAGATGAAAAACATGTAAATAAGGATAATAATGTTATTAATATTATATATAGGAGGCCATATTTGCATGTAATGCAATAGACTACGAAGCTGGATAAACAATTGTAAAAGTGGTTCAGTCTGTAGTCCTTACCTTTTTGACAGTGAAATGTTTTTGGCCATGCTGGACGAAGGCGCATGTTTTGCACAGGCCTTTTTTGGCATTGGTACATGCATACAGTGAGGAACAGAAGTATTTGAACACCCTGTTCCTCACTAATGGGAGTGGCATATAGAGAAGGGGCAGGGTGGGAATTATTGGGTTTTAATTTACTTGGAGCTATCTTATTTTTCAGATTGGGTGCCTTCCTATAGGTGACCATGGTTTTTTTTTTAGGGATATTGTCTTTACGTTGAGGATGTTCGACTGTGTCCTAAGGATGTTCTTTATTTTGAGGTATTGCCCATGAAACCCGGTAGTGAATCTGACTGAATGGTTGGATTCAGTAGCAACCTTGGCTTTATTGGATTTTCAGGGCAAATATTGAGTATAGGCTTCTTTCGATTGGAGCCTCGGGATAACCTATTTCCAATAACTTGTTTTTGAGGATAAGGCTTTGTTTTATGTAGTTTGAGTCCCTGGTGCAGTTCTGTCAAAGTCGACAACTGTCCTTGTCGGAATGTTATGTATCCATTTGGGGGTAGCGACAGCTATGGTAGTGCAGAAATTAATTACCTGCAGTGAGTTTTGTGTAGTTTTTGGTTATGATTTTGCCATTCTCATGAACCATTTCAAGATCAAGGAAGGCAAGGTGATCAGGGTGTTTTTCATGGGTAAATGAGAAACCTAAAGGGTTGTTATTGCAGAGGGCAACAAACTCATCTAAAAGGGATGTCGGGCCAAGGACACACATGAAGCAGCAAAGTTCTATGTTCAGAGCAATCGGGGAGGGGGGACACTAAAACAGTAGGCCATGGTACTGAAATGGGCTAGGAAGTCTGTGTTTCAAAGTGGCAGACTGTGATGTAAGGTGTACTGAACTTGAGCAACTGAAAACAGCAGTCTCTCTATTAACTGGAGACAGTTTGGGTTATGGAACCCTCTCACCTGGTTTGTAGTCTTAGCAGAGTGTAGAATGGTCTCTTGGTTGGGAGACTCCCTTGTTCTCTCAGTCCCTCTGAGGAAGAAACAATATCGATTACGGTCCCATGATCCGCCTGCACGGTCAACTCTCCAAGCAATCTCTAATCCCTCTTTCCGCCTCTTCTGTGTGAACCAATCCAGTCTGGGCCCTCTGAGTCCAAGACTAGCATCTTGCACATGTGCACACCCAGTCTCTTTCCTTTCTCCCCAGGAAGTTCCCAGGCTCCAGATTATATAGACTCCTGCCTCTTTTGCCAGCTCTTCTGAGAAATGTAGTTTGTTTACAGCTTGTTCAGTACAGAAGCCCTACTTTCAACACACAGGTTCAACAATGCTTTGCTGTACTTAAGTCTGTAATAACTAAACAGCAAAACACTTCCATCTTGTAGTTAATTAATATCCTGCAATTAGTAACAGTGCAGTGTGTTACATACTCCCCCCACTTAAAGTCTTTTGGCCATAAAGCACTAGTAAGTCAAACCAACAGCATTTGAAAACAAGACATACTGTGTGTGTGTGTATATATATATATATATATATATATATATATATATATATATATATATATATAGTGAGATGTGGAAACAGCTCTCATTATTTGAACACTGTTTGGGTGGAGTAAATTATTGTGTGAAGTGAATTAAATGTTCTGGACTGACATTCTGCGGTTTAGCCACAAGATGCCACTGTTTTCCTAACACAGCCTCAGACTGCATAGATATTTCTATATTCATGAAGTGGTGGGGTTTTCACACAGAGTTTAGAGAACAGGAAGAAGAGAGACAGCAGCCATGTTTGGAGGATGGGGAATGAAGGAGCCATGTGAGCAGAGAATTTGATGGCATCCAGGTGTGAGAGCATCCCGCAGTAGTCAGAGCTGCAGCTAAGTGAAGCTGATCGTGTCCAAGACCCTGATCCTGTTCAGAGAAAGGAAGATTGCTGCCAGGAATGCTGATGAGAGCAGAGGAACAAAGCAACATACACTGCGATATCGCATGCTTGTTGGAGAGTCATTTGTTCTGTTCAGAGTCACCAGCAGATGCAAAGCAGACCCAGGTCGGTAAGATCGTGCATGCACCTCATATCAGTGTTGGCGCCTTGAGACTGAGTCCAGGCCTATAGTTAGTTAGTTAGGGTCTCTGTTTGTGTCAGGCCACAAGTGTTATTACTGATCATTGGAAGGACTCCATAACTTAAAGCGACATTTCACATTGGAGAGCTGATAAAATCCCACAAACTCAAGCCAGACTGGCGTTTTGCTCGGAAGGAATACTCAGGCACGTGCTACAGGACCAGTTATGGGAGGGAGAATACTGTAGAGTTGTGTAAGATTGTAAGCTGTTGTGCTGTACCGCAGGCTAGCCCATACCATACACCCATACACTGATTCCTGCTCTTTTAGGGTAATAACGGGTAAGGTGTGGCAGCTTAGTTGTGCCCGCAAGTAGGTAAATTACTATACTTTCTACCTTCATCCATCAGAAGGCGCCCATGCTGTGCAGCATAAGGGTCTCAGCCTTTGGGCTGGGTGTATGTAAATTTATTGTATGTTCTCAGCATTGGTGGTTGTGTTTATTTTCCACATCTAAGTAAAATTCTGTTGTGACAAAAGCTGGTGTTGGGGTTGCTTTCCTCGTTCATGACTTCAATGTATCCTGGGGAGCCCACCCGGTACACGGCTTACAATATCATGGTCCACCTGCATGCAGGGTCGACTCTTCTGCTTGTCAGTGATATCAGCACTTTGTAGTCCCCCTTTTTCCGACCCTCTGGTGTGACCTGATCTGGACTGGGCCCTGTAAGTCCCACACTAACTTCTGACACACATCCTCAATTGCTCACAGTCTCTTTCCTTCCTCCCCAGGAAGTTCCCAGGCTCTTGATTATATAGGCTCCCGTGCCTTTGCCAGCTCTTCTGGGAAATGTAGGCTGTCTTAACTTGTTTGGGTACAGAAGTCCTGCTCTTAGCACGCAAGTTCATTAACTTTACTATATTAAAGTCTGTAATAACTAAACTGCAGAACACTGCTATCTTGTGGAAATTAACCTCCTGCAATCAGTAACAGTGCAGTGTATTACACTACTTTATCACACAGGTATGTGATGACGTTTGCAAACAAAAGGCAGCTTTGCCTGTGTCAGCATCAAGTGTACACTGTATACCCTGAAATAAAGAAGATAAGGCCTTAGGAAAAAAAAAACCTCCCTTACCATAAAAACACTGAAAACTCAATCACATTTTTTTCACTTGGAAGAAAATAAAAAAAAAATCAATAAACGTAAAATTAAAATAAATACATAAAACAAAAGGTGGACAGTATGCTCTAGTGGTTGTGTGCATTAGGCACATGGAAGCTGTAGGTGACAGCCATCTTGTCAGGTCTCAGCCATTTTTTTATATTTTCAGTATATTTATTAAGAATTTTTAGAAACTTTATACAGAAAGACAGGAGATGCAACCCACCAACATGACGAGTTGCAAAACATAAACAATAAGACAGTAAATTCAAGTACAATGTGTAGCAACATAACAACAGAGTCGACCAATAAAGTGTAAAGAGGAATACACTGGTAGCATAAACAAAGTTTGGTCGATTTATGAGCAAATTGCTCCATAAACAAGGTGGTATGAATAATATCATTAAAATAATAGACACAAATATAGAAAACAAAATATAAGGAAAGAACTGAAGAAGAAAATAAAGAAGAAAACCCAGAAAAAAAATGAGAGAGAGGGCAAGCCAAGAGTCCATTAAATAGCAGAAATATGCCAAATCCATGGATCCTAAGTGCTCTCAAATTTAGAAGCATTGTTAAGTATACTAGTAAGTTTATCATTAATCATAATTCAATTAAGTTTCTACTTAACTAATTCCAGCAAAATTGTTGACTGTTTCCAACATTTGGCTATCGTAATTCACACCACCAACAGGATATAAAGAATCAGTTTAACTGATTTCTTAGGAATATCAGTGGGCAATAAATGAAATAGAGCTATTTCAGGGGATCGACGAATATTAACCCCTGTTACCAAATAAAGGAAATTAAATAAACGGATTCAAAACCTAGTCACCACAGGGCATTTCCACCATATGTGGAGCATAGCACCCTCTTATCCACAATGTCGGAAAAAGCTGGGTGACACAGAAGGGTACATTTTAGCAAGACGTGCAGGGACCAGACACCACTGAAGAAGCATTTTGTACTTAGATTCAATGAGTGTAGTGTTAATCGAGATTTTAGATAGAGCATCAGCCGTATTCCGCCAAGTGTCCAGCTCCAGAGAAATATTTAAATCCCTTTGCCAATGTACCATATAAGAAAGCTTAATATTTGGATCAACAAGGGAAGCATATATATTAGACAGATGAGCTTTCACCGTACCCGTAGTCCTACAGGAGACCTCAAGA